TAAGAAATAAATCATCTAAATACATATATATATATATATATACTTCCCGAAAGTAATATAAATGTCGCTGCCTCATTTGTCTAAATTTTACTACCCATTTCCGGAACCACTGCACCGATTTGGGAAATTCTTTCACTACTTGAAAGTTACATTATTCCGGAATAACATAGACTTTATACCTTAGTCTATACCATTGCCGTTATTGAAACATTTTTCTTTCCAATTCCACTACGTGATATTATATACTACAATAGGATAGATACATACATACTTACAATAGGATAGGGTTATCCAACAATAAAGGAATCTACAAAATTGTGTCAATACTACCGGAGTTTATAACTAAACATCTAAACTCACAAACTTTACCTCTTCACCATATAGGTATATTAATATTTACAAAACTCCCAAAGTTATTAGCACTGGGTCGAAACCATGGCGAGACACTAGTGTTGCTGGCAGCTTGGCCGCCATTCTTTTTATATAAAACTAGCTGTCCCGGCAAACGTTGTTTTGCTATATAAATTATTAAGTACTAATATCGCTATTAAAAATAGGGTTAAAATTGGTAATAGAAGGGTGAAAATTTAGGGTTGTATGTATTTTTTAATGACACAATGAAAATTTAAATAAAAATGTTGCCCAAAAAATAAAAAAATAATATTAGGGGTGGACAACCGTCATCACTTAGGGGTATGAAAAATAGATAGTAGCCGATTCTCAGACCTACTGAATATGCATATAAAATTTCATAAAAATCGGTCAAGCCATTTCAGAGCAGTATGGTAACTAACATTGTGACACAAGAAGTTTATATATAAGATTATTATATTATTTTGATACTATTTTATATATGACACTTTTGACTTTTGTTGCGAACTTTTAGAAATTACATATACATATCATCATCATCATCATTGCCTTGCCTTTATCACATTATTTGGGGACAGCGCATTATGTTACATTACACGCGAATTACATATACATACATATATATATATATATATATATATATATATATATATATATATATATATATATATATATATATATACATCAACTTTTTATTATTCCTGTTTTTTTAAATAAAGTATACCCAACCCGCTCTAGCCGCAACTAGTATGTAACAAATTAATGCAAAACATTTTCTAGAACCTAATATATGTATACCCATTTAGTTTGTACAACGTACGGTCAGCATAACAGACCTACAGCGATTACTATTTCTAGACAGCTTATACAAAAGTGAACAGTATAGTAACGTAACAACTGATAATGTAATTTGCATGCTGCTCGCTGTACGGTAGAAAGTGTTAATGCTGCATGTAACAAGCGTCCATACGTGGCTAACGATTTCTATAAATAGTAAAAGGAGAGAAGTTGTCTTTGTCTATGTGTTTCTACGTTTACTTCTTCCAAAGTGTATGCACAGGACCTATCGGCCTCATTAAAAAAAAACATCTATTCAAAAGAGCAACACACAGTTTCTTGTACATTCTTCTTGTGATGAATCTGCGTTGCGCGTAAGTGGTAGAATAAAAAATATGACATTCAAAAGTGGTTGTACCAGTGGTTGAATTTGAATAAAGATTATTTCTATTTCTATTATTTCTTGGGCACGGCATATTTTTTATCCCTACCGTCTAGTTTGGCTTCAATTCAATACTTCAATCTGTGCATTTCTGCACATTAATTTTAAAACTTAACCGATTCGAATGCTGTTTTTAATGTAATATTTTAATAAGATTTCCGTAACATGAAATAAATCATTCCAATCGGCAAATAAAAACGTTAAGTAATTTCGAATACTACGCGTACAGTCGCGGTCAGAGCTCGTATTAATTTACAATCAAGCCAAGGTAAGTATTATCGAAATGTTTGTTTGTATTTTGGGTTTCGACCGTACGTTGTCAATGTTATGTGCGATGATGTTCGATGTTTGACAAGGTCTTAAAACGTTCACATTGAGCTACGGCTTTGTTTATAAAAAAGACTCGTTAATTGAAGAATCAATGTCAAGCTATTCAAGCAAATTTTTTATGTATGCATTACATTCAATATTTTATAGTAGGTAGTTATCACGCTGAAGACCGTATAGAAAATTCTTAATTCTCACATAGGGACCGGCATTATTTTAGTGTTAATTACGTATGTAATTTTTTAAATATGTTTTTACTGTATAATACTTTTAGGTAGACATCATTTAACCCCTAGATTTATGTCAATTAAAGTACCCGGTCCCAACGTGTAAATTTACTTCCGTTGCGGAGTGACCCACCGGCGGGCATGCGCTCTTTAAAGTGTTAAGTTCACATTCAGCAGATCAATTTTGGGTCACAACGGGGTCCAAAATTAGATTAGATTAGTCTGTGCTAATCTAATTTAATTTTGGACCCTGTTGCTGTTGAGAAGAAAAGAGGAGGACGAGTTCGTTGTTTTATAGTTATAAAATTGTACAATATTTAATTACGTATATCTTCTTTATATTTATAAACTGTATAACATTATGAATAGCAAGCGATTCTTGATTGATTGATACTTTATTAAATAGAATAATAAAAAGAATTGCTTATCAACAGTAGAAAGCTAAATTCCAGCAGTAGACAGGAAAAATCTCGGGAAAATTGAAAACACATCATTATTTTTACAACAAAGAGTAAGTTAGGCCACTTTTATTCAATATATTAATTTTGATTAAAAAAATGTTAAACCCATGGGGATGAAATCGCGGGTATCAGGTAGATTCAGGTTTACCAACCCTTTGCACGTATTAGCAGCCGAGGTAAAACCACCAAGGCGGTAACACCTGCCTTGGTGGTTTTACCTTGTGGTGGCCTGTAGTTGTTTTACCTTACCTCTTGAAACGTAAGTGTCTGAAATCCGCTTTAAAAAGTGAAGGTGTGATACCTTCACCTTTTGAAACCGAACAGAACTGCCAAGTTGGTTCATGGTAACTGAAATCTACACAAAGACGAAATACGTGTACCAAGCCAGATGACATAACTTTGTGAGTTTTGTATATATTAACATAATATAATATAGCTTAACTGTGTCACTCTGGAATAATTTACCTCTTACAAACAGTGAAAGAGTTTCTTAAGTCGTAGTCTGTTGTGAGTTTATTTATCTCATAAGAAAACTCGCTCTCTCTTTATATAATGATTTTAATATACTATTTCATTTAAAAAAGTAATTCAATCTAGTTTCCTATCAGTTCTTCTCAATTATATATATAGACTGAAATGGACGGTAAAAGAAGACTTTTATTTTATAAATTTTTTTTCACATGTAATTTTTACGATTCCTACTTGCACTTAAGGAACTGCTTTTATTATATAAAAACATAATCTACAATATAATGTTTCCGACATCCCGTCAATGCGATGTGTTTACATGTTTGTAATGTAACTTGTGTCATTGGCCGAAATAGAAAATGGGCCGTATCGTGCACGCTCCCTCGGCTATTGACATGAACGATTGTTGTAGTATTTTGAATACAACGCTGGTATAAGGAATGTTTTTTTTATTTTATGTAATGTAATCTCGTGCTATAGGTGAAGTTAGCGATAATGTAATACAGTATAGATTTAGAAAGTTTTACTGGCAACTTATCCAGCTCTTAGCTGTTAGTTTGATTCTATGCGAACTTTTCTTTTTTAGATGTTGTTACATAGATTTATAATAGGCTATTTCAGCTCTTAATTGTAAATTGCTCTGTGTATTGTGCTGTTATTTATTTTATATCGAGGGACTTCACGGCTCTGACCACTAGTGGCCCTCACAGAAAACATACTCTATTATAACACGATTTTGTTTCATTTAGTGTCTATATGTTTCACATGTTATGTTAGTTGCAGAAATAATCGGGAGGAAAGTCGCAGTGCGAATAAAGTTGTCACCTTGGAAAGGTTTTTAAATAGAAAAAATCATATTACCTATTTAGAATGTAGATAATAATAGGCTTGCTACATCAGACTATTTACCGTGTACAATAAAAAGGAGATAATAATGTTAAACAAGATGCTTTGCAATATAGATAAGAATTGAATACTATATACGCAGTCAAAATATACGATTATTTTATAATTTATGGCAGCTATACTTATTTTATTATGTCGTCAACAACTACTTATATATATTTTATTAGGTACTATAAATAAAATAAAACTATTTTAATTTCTATTAATTTCATGCTGTCTATTTGATATACGTAACAAGCTAAGTTGGTAGCATACTGGTGTATATTACAGAACTAATGCTGACTGAACGCATGGTGAGGGTCGCCGTTCAGCTACAACCATCATATATACATAGCACATGTAGGTATGTGTTATATATAAGAGTTGTAGCTGGACTACAGCACATGGCTACAATGTTTAAGACAAATCTAATAACAGCATTCGCGGGAAGTTAACATACGTCCTAAAACATTGTTCCTCCTTTTTCGGCTTAAATATACAGAATAGTAATAGTACAAGTTTACCCATGATCGTGGCGGTTGAAACACTGCCCAAATATTGTGTACTCAATAAAAAATAAACGTGACAAGATCCTATGATTTTTCTAAATATACATGTAGATAATTTTAAACTTTCGTGTTTCATATAGATTATTTAAATTATTAACCGGGTCTTAATACGAATAATTTTATGGCAAATAATATTAAGACCCGATTAATACTTTAAATAATGTACACATATAGAATAGTAGTACCGATAGAACTAAAAAAAGCAATAAAGGACATTACCTTTCTTTAAGTAGTAACGGTATAATAACTTTTAAAATAGATTCAAAATATCAAATAAATTCAAATAAATAAATATCTAATCGTGCGTTGACATACTAATCGTGTTATTTGTAATCGATAAATAAAAAAAATAATTGCCGGTCTCTAAGTATTATTTTACCTACATCACGCTACATTATCAATTAGTGACATGGTCTATATTTTATTTTCATAAAAAATTGAGATCTTATAACAATTGTATATAAAAAATTACCTCTTCGTCTTCAGCTATACATTCTACGGCGGCCTGCTGTCTACTGTGTGACTGCTCCACATTTGTCTTCACCTGCCTCTCCTGGCCTTGATCTAGTACTGTAACAAACAAAAAATATATACTTTACGGTTCTATGACATATCTAGTGATAATCATTTCTAAAAAAAACATTTCTGTTGATAGATCAAACAATTAGATAACATTTTGTTTGTTAAGTGATATCTTCGCTGAGTATTCAATCAACATAGTTTATCAACGCTCTTTATAATAAACTAGCTGTACACGCGACTTCATCCGCGTGGAATTTAACTTTATTTTTCTAAACTAAAAGTAGCCTAAGTTACTCTTTATTACATCAGCTGCCTGCAAAAAGAGTCCAGTGAAAATCGGTCCAGCCATTTCAGAGATTAGGCGAAACAAACAGACAGACAAAAATTGTAAAATATGTTATTTTGGTGAATGTACCGTATTTATATTCATAAGCATGTAGTAACAAACGGTTATTTCAATATAACAAACAGACACTCCAATTTTATTTTTATGGATAGATTATATTCATTTTACGGGTTTTTTTATGATAACTGATAATGATAGAATACAAGACAGCTAGGCACATAGGATTGTAGTAAGTTTTCATTAATAAATTTAACATATTCATTGGGACAAATTATTTAATGAATCCAATAATATGAACACACAGCAACATTGTTTAATAAATAAGCCACATATCTTCATTATTTATATTGTAAACGCGAAAGTTTGTGAATATGGATGTTTGTTACTTTCTCACGCAAAAACTACTGAACGGATTTTGATGAAATGCGGGTGACACCGCGGGTATAGCTAGTAAATAATAAAATACAGAATTGTCTCGACACTAAAATAATATTTAGTATTTAAGCATTTAAGTTAGACGCCGTAATCACATCGACCCGCAGCGCAAAAACAATTAATCACAAGACCTTAATTAAACGCCTAAAATTGGCCATTCAGCCCGCCTGATTGCTTGTCGTACATCACGATCGTTGATACGAAAAATCTGCGAGAAAATGTAGCCATTACCAAATATTTTTATGTTTAGTCAGACCAAAAAAAATATTGGACGATTTTCTATTGGTACTTTAAAAAATATTATGTAATGTCATACTAGGTTTTGCCTGGTAATATTCGACGACCTCGGTGCTCTAGTGGTATAGCACACCGCCTTAATTCCGATGGTCGCGGGATCGATTCCTCGCTTGTATTCACGAGTGTGATTGTTTGTATCAATATATATATCCTTAAAATTATATATTATTCAAAAATTTCTTTAGCCTATATGTTTACCAATATATTCAGACAAAATTTTTAGCCGATTTTACGTCATATCTTAACATACAAACATACAGTTTTCGCTTCGTCATGTTTTTACGATTTTATTATAGGTAAAGATAAAGATAATAAAAGATTCTTTGTTTATTACTTCTTGGCGCCTTTACGTAGACTTAGTAAAATTTTGCGTACACGTGTTATTTATCAAGAATCTTATATCTAGAGTATAGATTATTCTGGTCACGCGAAGGAAGCCCGGCATAAAGTTTAGTATGAAAATAGTTCTTGAATCTTTGGTAGTTTTGTAGAAAACATTCAGAAAATAATATAATACTGAGCAATGGAGCAAGTAAGAGAAGGTTAATCATGATAATGGAGCAAATTAGAGGGAGGAATCGTACCCGCGACTATCGGAATTCAGTTCAGACCTCCACTATCATGAAGATGAAAATAGATGGCATCTACAAATGTAAAAGCGGAGAAAATTATGAGAACCACTAGTTTATAATACTAGTTACTACTTTAGATATTATTTTCCTCGTTTAGTGTTATTTATTTGTCTAGTAATCGCCCAGTCTGAGTAGCGCTGCCAAAAATGTCAGGGAATAAACAACACTATTACTTGAGAAACCGGTATTAATTTTGCGGAGGAATGTGGTCTAACGTTATATGGTAAGACAGACTGCGAAATATAGTGCTCAGGTATTAATGGAAAGGTGACAAAGATTGTAAAGTTGGTCGCCAGATATATTGTGCAATTTAAGTGTAGATATTGTATAGTCCAATTGAATTTACGTACTATTTCTTAATACTTTATTTCTTTAAACCATTCCAGTGCTCGTTCGCTGATACTTGTTACATTTACAAGAGTGTATATGAAATTTTATTTAGATTCATTTTATTTTCATTACTTACATTTGTTCCGTATACCGAACCTCCTTAGTCTAAGCAGGTTGTATCACCGGCTTGCTTACTGAAGCAAAGGGCGCTTGGTAATACTGGCCATAAATAAATACATGTGGCCACTTAAATTTCGAATTAAGAATAAAAAAACAATTGAAAGTAAGAACTGGAATAAAAAGGTCGCTCCGTGTTTTTAACTATATAAAACAAGATAATGAATGATTTATTCAACACAATATCATTGTTTTATGAAAATGTACACTCTAGAATGCGTGGCCACTAAACACATCGGGACGTTCCTGAATAAAGTTCGTAATCCAACAACATTCATGCGCCACTTTATTAAACTATATTTTTTTTTGTAAACGCTCACTTTCCAAAAATGGTCTGAAAGAGATTGCATTAGTGATCAGACCGCATTAATAAATTTGAATTCCGTTGTTTGCAAACATTGAAGTAATAATAATTATTACCTTTATAATTACTATTATCTGTCACAATCATATTTGACCTTGATTTTTATTGCTTTATTTTTAATAAGGAACAAAAAAATAGCTCAAACAAAAGCAAACAAGTTAACTGATGAAATCAATACACAAAATGATGAGTGTATCCATTTCATCATTATTCGAACATTGTAAACAGACAAAATAACGAGGGCGGAACGCACTCAAGTAAATAAAATTAATTTCTTTTTACAGGAACCTAACAATCTCTTGCAATAACATGAAACATTCTAAACAACGCTGACTACTCTCTAATCATTATGTAAACTGGTGTTAGATAAGTACGCAAAGTGCATTCTACAGAACTGTTAGTTGTGGCATATGACTCACATTTGTACACATTTACACTGTTTTTGTTAGAGAGAACGCTGGTCTTTAACAATGTAACAGCATTTTTGTTACAAAACATCTTTCATACGACACTATTTAAATTGATAATGATAGTTTATTTCTCCCGCCTGCGTGAACGGTATCCGAGAACGGCTAATCAGTAATTTATGACAGGAAGAAAAGCGGTTCCCTCTAAAAGATGGGCCATCTCATCTTAACCTGCACTGGTCCCACGCCAGCGTGTGCCGTTAGCACAGGTGAGTGCACAATTCCATAATTATCAATTAAAAAAAACTCTGTCTCAACTATTTCTGCCTCAAAGAAAATTTGTGATTCGGATAAAGGGATGTTAGCCGTTCTAGTCACACAGCCGACCGTATCGAATTACCCAGAATGTCATGTGGCGTTAATTAATTTTTTATCACCACCATCACCTTAATTCATAATCACCAATATGGCATTTATCGACACTCTGGATGACACAATCGTATAGCTCTAATGCTGTATCCGGAAGACACGCAGATGTGCCCCTAACGGAACTACGCAATAACAGTTTGGGTTTGTTTGTTGAGTCTTGAGTTGCACTGCGACCATGAATGGTGTAGGTAAGTATTTCGTATTGGGTATTCTGTGGTGAAGGTTGTATTAATCCGTTGTTTAAGATTGTACGTCTAGCTTTGCGTGAATGCTAGCGTACACGTTTATATCAGTAGGATTACGGCTCGTCTATTTAATAAGATACTTGATTTTAGGATTACATTGACCATCTATTAGAATAAAAATATTTAATTTTATTTTATCAACAAAATACTGGCCGTGTATGTCTATTTCTTGGCTTACTTTGTGAAGTATTTTAACAACGCATTAGCCATTATTTATAAAATATATCATTAAAAAATCACCTCTACCACTACTATATATTATATGCTACACGAGTGATAAAACTAGTATAGTATCACTATAAAAAACATTGTATATTAACAGCCATTGTGATGAAGCTAGTGTTCTAAGACTACAGATATGCTGTGTTCGTATTTATACTACTAAGCAACGCGTCCCAGCTTCGCACTGATGCATTACAAATCTTTGAATTTCTCAGCTTGTTCTATACTATAACATCCATGTCTTATACATATAAACCTTCCTCTTGAATCACTCTATTTCTAAAAACTGCATTAAAATCCATTGCGTAATTCAAAAGATATTAGCGATCAGACAACGGCGGCGAAATTGTTTTCTATGTAAGTATGTTTAGGGAAAAATGTAAGTTACTCATAGCTACGTGCTTTGCAAACTGCTCCGAGAACAAACGCAAACACTATAAAATGTTAATATACTGCAAGCACATAAATGGAAAACGTGACATGATTGAAAACATAACAGTATATAGCCATTTAATTTAGGGCGTAATATTAACGATCTACTACACTTATCAGCGGCTTATACGCAGTAAATCTTAACGGCGTTCTTTATGCTCCATTCCTTTTAAACTATTATAACGCTATTGAACATTAATGCTACTATGTGCTATGAAAATGGTGGAGGAGAAACACTTTAAACCTGCAGAAGTACCTATAGAGTGGCTGAAGGTCAACTCTTGCTTGTCGGATACATTTCTGATTCCCCTACTAGGGAGTTTGTACGTAGGTTCGCGCCGTTGTAATCTCGATCCTCATTGGGATAAAAGAACTTATTAATCGGGTTTTAAATGCCCATAAGATTGATCACATAACGCAGTTTTTATGTAATTAGAATGACAATCAATACGACTAGTAAGCAGTAATCGTTTCTTACACATATGATGAAGACATCAAGTTATCACGTGAAGCCCGGTGACGAAGGACTAAAATATATTTTACTGCCTTATGTCACCCTACAAGAGAAACTCGGTTTACAAAATAAGCTACTTGGCGGCTGAAGTAGTTGAGACTAGAGACACCCACGCAAACGACTTTTTACTAAGTCTACCTCGTATTAAAGATCATATTTGAATGCAGTCAAGAATCTTAAAACTCGGCTTGTACATATTATTGTCAATAGATTTATAC